TCCTTAAAGCTCTCTCACCTCAGTGCCCCCAAAACAAGATGTTTATTTTAAAGGCAGTCATATTAACAAGGAGAGGCTTTTAGGGCAAAAGGCATTTACACGTATTGGAAGAGAGAAGAGTAGAATTTTTCATTTAGGTTATGTTTTTAAGAATCTGCCTCATGTTTCCAGATCCAAAAGTAGTATTGACAGAAAAGCCTAGATACAATTTATTGCAGCAAACTTGTTTGATTGTCACTTTGATGTGCAATGATTTACTTTGATATGCAATGATTTACTTTTAATAGTGATTCTTTGTCTCATCCTATCTGAGCCTCTTATCACAAAGTACTAACTCCTAACTTATGATTCTTCTCCTATAATTTTTTTCTCTGCGAATGTAGCATTCCTAAGATTTTTGGTCTGGAGCCCTGCATAGGATGCAAATAATGCTAAGAGGGAGCATAGCTTTTGTTATTATCAGTAGACATAACAGAAAAAAAAACGTTAGGAAGGATCTATAGTAAGAGATAAAAATGGGATTCAGAAGAGGTCACGAAGAAGCAAAGAAATAGAGCAAGGAATAGAGTGTGTGTGTGTGGGGGCGTGTGTATGTGTCTTAACCTTTGACACTTTAAAAAAGGAATTGAAAAAAACCTTCCTCTCCCTTCTCTGGCCCCATTCAACTCTTTCACAATTTTGCCACAAGTTAGCCTTACCACGAAGGTCCCTTGGAACTTGCCCACCAACCCACCTTACCCTGAGTCAAATTGTAAACTAAGAAGAAGGCTCAAGAATAATAGATTGGTTCCAAGAAATGCCACCCCACTCAGATCAGACCACAGTTATCCATTTCCAGGACACTCTTGGGAGTCATTACTTCCAGGAAAGGAGTCATTGCAGTCAGTCCTCTGAGAAGCCAAGCGTGCCTTCCTGATGAAACAGCATGCCAGTGTGTCAACCAATTGGGATATTGCTCTGGAACAAAGGGGAACGCACAGCAGCTATTCTGAGAATGCTAGTAAGTCATGATTACCCCACAGATTGGCCCCCCAAATTTAACCAGTGTGTGTGTGAAATGCAGATGAAAAGGACTTTATTGGTATCATTTTCCTTTTCATAATTACAACTGGTAATTCTTTTCTACTTGTCATGAGTTGACCCAACAAAGAGCAGAAGAGAAACATATTTGTGTTTGATTATATGCATTGTTGTTTTCCTTAGGATAGGAGAATGGTGGGATGTATATTGAAAAGGAACCAGAAACCATAAACTAGACCAAATTCTTGGTGAAGGAGGCAGGACGTCTGGAGCAACATCACAGTCATCTGCAAAATACCAATGTCCTTGGTCTACCACAAATCGGTACTCTTCACATCGTAAACACAGACATGGTCTTTCCGAAAGAAGGAGTCAATACCATTGTTTTAGTCACTCTAGTTTTCTTAAAAACATTAAGTTTCACCAGACATACAAATACGATGCTATTTTCAACTCTTTTTCTATCCTTTCTTATTTAAAAAGTGAGGTTTCTTTGTGTGAGAGTCCTCTGATTTTTATCTTTGAGGCAATTTCTATAAATAAGCTAAAACGTTGCTCTGTGAATAATTTTCCTCTCAACTAAAACGACTCATTCATTTCAGTTGATATTGGCAAGAAAACATCCACCTGTTTCATCTTGATTAGTTATTTCCATAAACTGAAAGAATGAAGAGTGCCTCAAAGACTCTTAATGTCCCAGAAGATCAGTAAGTGAAAGAGAAAAATGTACAAAAAAGAATGCCATCTTGTGGCTGTACCACTAGAATGACAATAAAGCAAACTTTTTTACCCTGGAAAGTAATGCTAGGATGTCCAAACAAGGGGCTGCACAATGTAATAGGAGTCACTGAGACACTGGTCCACAATGGGAGAGCTAGAACCGACTCTGACGTGAATGCAGATGCCATTTTGTCCTTGGAACCCAACGAGAAGGACATTGTTCAGTCTGTTCTCTAGAACCAGGTATCCGTGGGAAGGCAAATTATTTCTACCAAAGATTCTAATTCACTTTGGGCAATGCCACTGGGTGTGATAGTGACTGGTCTGGGAAGCCAAAAAGACCTGAGTAGAGATGGCTAAGGGAAGGGCAACAGAGCTCAGATGCTCGACTTCGGAAGAAACCTGCTTTCTGGTGGTAGCCTAAAACACACTTCTCGACATGAATTTAAATCTTGAAAATAAGAATTTTGAAAATACCTGTTCAAGAATATGAATTGTTTTGAGCCAAGTTATGAAAGAAGAAAGCTCAGTAAACATTTGTTATTTTGAAATGCTGATTGGGAAAGATCAGAAAGAAAGGTTTGGATAAACTCATAGTTTGTAGATACATTGCTTATCATTAAGAAAAGCAAACGAGGCCCTGCCTGACACAGCTGAGTGGATTGAGCGCGGGTCTGTGAACAATCCACTGAGAACCAAAGGATCATGGTTTGATTCCCAGTCAGGGCACATGCCTGGGTTGCAGGCCAGTTCCCAGCAGGGGACGCACGAGAGGCAACCATACATTGATATTTCTCTCCCTCTCTCTTTTCCTTCTTTTCTAAAGATAAATAAATAAAATATTTAAAAAAAAACAAAAACATTGTGCTAAAAAAAAAGAAAAGCAAATGACATTTAGACATTTTGTGGTTGATGCCTACAAGATTAATTATATTCTTCCACAAAACCAACACTTAGTTTTTAATGCTGCCAAAGGCCTGGAAGTTCATCTAGTTCAGTCTCTTAATTTAACAGAGGAAGAAAATAAGGTCAAGAGAGGCTGACTTGAATAAAATCACACAGGCAGCTAATGACTAAATTAAGTGCCACACCTGGGGTTCCCAACTTTCTCTGAATGCTACTTAAAAAACATACATAGCCATATGTGTATATATGTAGTGCACACCCTTTTCTAAAAGATTCAAAATGTACATTATTATATAAAAAATTCCGAGTAATCATTCAGTAAAAAAATCTGTTCAACTTTACTAAGCTCAGCTTTTCCCAAACCTGCTCGGTCACGAAGCCTCTTTCTCCACACAGCAACTATTAACACCCCGTACAGCCAAGTCATGAAAACGCTGCGTCCAAATCTCGTTTGAGTCCATAATTATTCTATTTGGCCTGCTGGTTCATTGTTTTCAACCTAGTTATTTCAAGCTAGAAATACGGGCAACAAATAAAAGTAGATTCTTAAACAAAACCCCACACAGCCTCACTCACGCCACCAGCTCATTAAAGGAACAGTGAAATGCCGAGGTTAGAGCCACACACATCTGCTGCCTGACCCAGAACCGATGGTATTTTTGCATTTTTTTTTACATTTGCAAACTGAGATGGCATTGGCCCACTTTTTCAAGGGCAGATAGCTACAGTATTCCACATACACCAATTTATTTGAGGAGACTTGTCTTTAGCATTTACTTCCAGACATTTTTGGCATAAAAGAGGAAGGGAGGGCTGCACAGCAAAGCAGTGTCCGCAGGCCCTTCATGTATCATTAGGAGCACATTTACTTTGAGCCATGAACTTTTACCTCTAAATTAAGTAAGAAGAGATGCAGCTTTATCTCTTATAGAGATTATTACAGTTTTATTCTATCTGAAAACCTACTCAGCAATTCCTGTGGCATTGTCAGTCTATCTTCATGAACTGGGAGTATTAGGCTGTGGGATGGTATGAAAATTCTTATATTCTGGTGTTTGTATAACCTGGATCGAGAAAAACACAAACTCGGAGAGGCAGCATTCACATCTGCAGAAGGTGACAGAATCCTCTGTCAGGTGTCCTGACACTATTCATTGCATCTGTTGGGGTAGAATAATTTCTAGTATTTTATACATCTGCCAGCCAATATTAAGGAGTTGTCTGAGTTCCTGTGAGATGAACATATTTCACACACGCACAGATACACACACATACACCACAAACTCATAAACACTGAGAAGGTCTTTGACATCCCCTTGGGTTTAAAATGGACCTAGCAACCGCTTTCTGACTCAACAATTCTAGGAGCCTTCTATGTCAGTCGAGGCAAGATTCCGCCCAAGGTTCATCTGCGGGCAATCTGTTCACGCTGATTTCCCACAGTCCAGTCCTCTGAGATCGCCGCTGAAGTGAACAGAAAGGTGCCTGGCTAACTCATGTGACTATCATGGTCTAATACTGCTAAACTGAGCCCAAGGTATAATTTAACATGACATTACATATATATCTCTAATCAATGGACGGATGTTGTGACTCACTGTATAATCAACAATTATTTTGACTTTGTTGATCTCCACCCCTGAATGGCTATCATTACTCTTAGGTGAAAAGGATTATTAGGTTTTTATCTGGCCCTTAGTACTACTTTTGTGTACGTGGTCATACCTGTAACTGGCACTGTGAGAATTGCAGGATAATAAGATCGTTCATAAGAAAATATCTCCACAGTTCCATATGAAATGTTCTGAGCTTCAAAGGATTTATAGAGATTGAAACAATAGCCTTTGGAGAGTGCAGTTTCTCCCTAATTCTCTGCCTCACAGCACAGCTAAAATCAATGTGATGGCTTGGTAAGTCTGATACACTGGGGACTGGCTGCCCCGTGCTTTAGTTCTTCCAAGACTACCCGCAATCCAAGAAGCCTGAACAAAACAGCCAAACTAGGTGTGATACTGAGTCTGGGCATGAATGGATTAGAATGAACCTTTCCAATGTTTATACATAGGTTTACTGCAGACTTCAAACTGTATGAGTCTAGGTTCTGCAAGAAATGCCACACCAGCCAGGCCTTCTGTACAAGAGACATCCATCTGCCACTGGGCAAAGCAACAATAACTCTGGAAGAAGATGACCCAGGGAACACTGGCTCGTGGCCCAACACTTCAGAGAAAGGTCTCTCCTGCACCAGTCACCCCTGTGCTACCAGAGAAAAGGGTGCTTACGTGCTAGTTCTGAGGATGTAGCATAGGCCATTGTGCCTGACCCACATACCATTTTTAAAAAATTAATACACAGCATTTTCAATACATATATTTGACATTTACAAAGTAGAAGTTTTCAGAATCTCCTGAAACATTGGAAGATCAGATCAGATGAGTCTTAAATTTTCACAATCCCAAATCTTGCGCCAGATGAGCAGCAGCTTTCTGCTTCAGAGGGGGCATTCGTTTCCAGATCCTTAGCTTCTCCCCGACCGGCTTCACTCTTCTCTCACCTGGACCCCACAGGCACTGGAGTTTAGACCCCATGCTGTAGCTGAAAGGAAGACGGGGGAAGAAAGACGTGTTTCAGAAGTGAATGAGTCAGATTTCGGCTCTACCACTGACCAGTTTCTTAGGCAAACAGTCAGAACTGTATCTACTTCATCTTTGAAAGTCCTAGGATATAGAGAATTTCAATCATGATAACATAAATACATGAGTTTAAAACATATAGATGACTTTGTTATATGGAAAACAATAAGAGAGAGCTTACATTTAAATTTTATTATAGCATAATTTCCAGAACCCAGTGAAACAAATATATTTATTAGCTAAAGATAAATACATGTCTATTCATCTGACCTTGAGGTGAAGGAGAGGGGGAAGTATAAGCAATCAGAAAGCCAAGGTCTTCTCTCGGAAGGGAAAAAAAAAACCAGAAATGACATTTCCTTTTCTAAACCTTTGTTTGATGAAGAAATCAGTAACACTCGCTTTACTTACAACTTTTTATGCATAAATTTTTAATAATGCTGGCAGAAAAGGTTAACATATCCTGATATTTGGGCAATTGATTCTGTAATAATCATAAAACAACTTTTCAGCTGAATGGTTCGTAGTATTTTGAGACTCAAACTAGTCTTCAGAAAATAAAATGTATGAATGATGAAGCAAAGTAAAAGCTAATTAACAAATTAATACATTTAACAAATATCTTTTAAACTGAGCACTCACTAATTTTTAGACCCTCTCCTACATGCTTGGAATTGGGTGCAAAAATTTATATGTTAATAAATTTAACTATTAATAGGAATTTCAGCCTGATGGCAAGTGTCTCAGGTTTGAATGTCCAAAGGAAAATAATTCTAATACTGTGTTTGGAGCAAGATTCAATACCTGGGTAATTCAAATCTTTGGTTATTTTGATTTGGTATTCTTTTACCTTAATTTCTAGTTAGAACATTACAACCCCTTATAAGGTATCAAATTTATATTATTAGAACCATAAAAGATATCAAAACAATTAAAGCTATAGATAGTATCAAGAACAAAACATTAGCTACAATGAAGACATATCTTATCCGTGGTGGTTTTATATAAGTGGTATAATATTTTAAATCTTTTTGTTTTAATTGTTATTACGATAAGTTTTATCTGCTATTTAGGGTGTTTGAAATGTTCGAAGACAACTACAAGAAACATTTTGTATACAATTTTAATTGTCTAAAGATTTTTTAATCAATAAAATCAAGATAGGTAATACTGATGTATTTGAGAAAATTTGGTTTTTGATGTTTCATTTGTTTGGTCTGAACTTCAGGAAGATCTTTCAATATGACTCTGGATTTACTTCTGGCAACTCTGTCATCTATAAAGTACTGAGTTAAGATAAAAGTGGAACGTTGATTGGTTCATGCTGTATCAAGCAGAGTATACTCAGTTATCAGAATTGGTGAGTTTTATCTGTATTCAATCGGCATGTTCTAAAAGAAGGTTACTTGGAATGTACAAAGTTGGGTGAGGAATGATAAAGGTCCATGCATGCTTCCATTTCATCTTTATTTTTAGTAGTTTATTTTTATTGTATTTTTCTACTTATAACTTCTTACCCAAAAGCCCAAGAGTCCTGTATCATAGTGATTTTAGATGAAGAAAGTATATTTTATGCTAATTTCTCTGCCTCTCCATACTTTGATTTCAAGCGGCAGCTGTCTTGGATTTGCACGTGCATATATTTCTTAACTCAATGCTAAGTGAAATCAAATGAGGACATAAAGGCAAGTCATTGTAAAAAGATCTGAAAGCCTGTGTAAGTCTTTTAACCTTGTTATAGACCTCACTCTGATTTCCTAGAGTCTGGCTCAAAGCAAATAATTTTACTGCACTATATGTTTTTTTGAATTTTTATTTATTGATTTTAGAAAGAGAAAGAAAGAGAGAGAAAGCCATTGATTTGTTTTTCCACTTATTTATGCATTCATTGGTTGGTTCTTGTATGTACCTTGACAGGGGATTGAACCTACAGCCTTGGCATATCAGAACGACACTAACCAACTGAGCTACTCATCAGACTGTACAACACATTTTTACTTTCTTTTATACACTCAAGTTTATATATATCTACAAATATGTAATTTCAACAGCAATCAGAATTAAAGTCACCATTTACACATCCTTTACTTGAGAATAGGCTTGTAACAATTTTTTTTTATTTATTTATCTTTAGAAGGGAAGGGGAGAGGGAGAGAAATACCAATGTATGGTTGCTTCTCGTGCATCCCCTGCTGGGGACTGGCCCCTGCTGGGAACTGGCCTGCAACCCAGGCATGTGCCCTGACTGGGAATCAAACCGCGATCTTTTGGTTCACAGGCCTGTGCTCAATCCATTGAGCTACACCAGCCAGGGCTTGTAACAGATTTTTTAAGTTTTAATGACTACAGTAAAGGCTGTAGACAAACATGTTCTCTTTCAGCAGGCAATATTCTTTCAATATGAATTTCACTCTCCATTTGTTCACACAGTAGTTACTATTCTCTAGTTTCTTGTGTTGGTTTTGCATCTCTCGCCAATGCTACCTGGCTGTCACCAAAGCCTGTGGGTTCACAACCCCTGAATTATCAATGAATGGACCAACATGCCATTCACCACAATTAAATTAAAGCCAGACTCAGAAAGAGAATGGAAATTGTTCTGTAATCTTTACTTTTTAAAAAAGTCACAGATTTTCAGAAACACACTGTGTCAAGTTGTTGATTGACAGATGCCCAAGTTGAAATGGTGTTTCAGGGAAAAATTGAAGAGGTGACTTGGAGACGGTGTTTCTCAAACGTGAGCACTCATGCATCAGAATTACCTAGAGGACTTCTTAAAACACCAGTGCTCCCCCCTTCCCCAAAGTTTCTAACAGGTTTCTAAGTGATGCCGATGCAGCTTGTCCAGGGACCAAATTCTGAGGACTAGCTGAGTTGAGAAATACCCAGAGACTTGAAATAGTTGTAAAAGAAAGTAAAACTGTCTAATTTATTTTCCAAGTCACATGCACACACAGAGCCTTTCTTTTCTTTACTAAATGATTAAAATTTCTTCAGATAGAACTGAGTGAAGCAGTAAAGGTCATGAATTACTGGAAAGGAATAACTAATATTTGGAGGGGTGCAGAGAGATGGGTTAGAAGGTGGTGTGAGGTTCAGGCTTTGTAAACAGAGTACACTGATTTGAGAAAAACGAATCTCTAACTAGACAACACCAAACAACAATGTGGTTTTAGACACCTCTTTGCCAAGATAACTCATACTACACAGGTCTGAGGTCTGGTTGTTAAAAAAAGAAATCATTACTAATTTGCTAGGAAAACAAAAACCCTTGTTACGTTCTTTTATCAGTGATGAATGAACCAGACACGAAAAAAAGTAGAGTGCACTGAGCAGGTTTGTCAGGAATGACGCAGCACGGCAGCTACGTGGGGGGATCACCAAGCTTCTGTTTTCATCACCCTGTGAGTCCTTCTCCTGTAGGCAGCCACCAGCTCCTGCACCATCTGTCCCAAGGGCAGAGGAATTCCAGCAGGTTCTCCAGGGCCAAATACTGAGTCAGACTTTTCCTTTACTGTTAGTTTAGTCTAAGATGATTAATCAGCAGGGCATTAATGCCTTTACTACCTGGGATATGGCTTTCTCCTTGAAAAAAATGCCGTAACGGTTAAACAGAATGACTTCAGGCAGTGAGTTTCAATGCTTCTCAGTAGCTAAATTTCTTAATATGACATCAAAGAAAACTCAGATATGGCTTCAAAATGTGACATTGAGCTCTGCCCACACTTGACCCTGGGTCTGCTTTCCTTGAGCTAATGCATCATAAAGCCTGGCTTTCTGCTTTACATGCCACTCCGCTTCCGTTCCCTGCCATAATGACACACACACCACTTTTTTTTTCTCAGAAGTTTTCCTTGTCACTATCTGAGGCCAGAAAGTTACAAAGATTAATGAGTTGTCACTGAGGTCATTATTTTTAAACCTCTTTGGATTTCTGGATGGGAGTCGCCACTGAAATGTCCAGTTTTATTTTCCTCTTTTAACTAAAGTGAACTTACATAGAGTGGCTTTTTAAATTCCAAAACCAGTTTTCTAAAGGGTTACTTCTGTGGGTGTTTTTGCATTATATATAAATCCCAGGACTGGAAGCAATGTTCCTAGACTTGAAAACATTTTCAGTCGTCACTTTCTAGAGCCACGTAGTGGACAAACCTGTCACCCTTTCAGAGCTCCCACACTGTCTTCACGGTATAGCTTCTTCAGTGGATAGTCAATCAAGATTGGTAGGAAAATAAATACATCAGCCTCAGCCTCCGGTTGAAGAAGATGAAGAGGCAGGAGGAGGAAAAGGAGGACTAATGAGCGTCTCCCACCAAGCGGAGCAGTTCAGAGTGCTTTAGCGACATGAATATATGGGGCGATGGGATATAAAAATGTAAGCACCATAGATCTGGGCAACAGCATTAATTAGACCTAAATCATTTACTGTAGGAGTACTGTTCATTGGGCTCAAAAAATACACCCTGCCCTCTCCCTGTCCATCAGGCTTGGAAAACATGCAGCGTGAGATGGCACGTGTTGTAGCAGAAAGACTGTACAACATGATATGGTAATAATCTTCAGGCTCAAAAGGAGACTGCCTGGGTTCAAGTTCACTAAACCTGTTTCCTCATCTTCACATGCACATGATAATCCCACCTACTTAGAGGGCCATCACAAAGATTCAATGAGCTAACACACGCAAACTGCTTAGAACGGTACCTGACATGTGCTTCAGAGCCCCAGGCCAGGAATTGAGGCTCTGCTGAGCTGGTGACCAGCTGTGAGAATGGGGGCAAGTGTGTTTTCGTGAGTCTCATTTCACACATCTGGATGCACCTACCTTTCAGGAGAATCGAGTGAGATAATGCAGTATCAGAAAGCACTACTAAAATTACTCAGAGAAAGACATACTGTATGATTTCACTGATATGAGGAACCTAAAGAACAAAAGAAACAAAATTGGAAGAGACTCAGACACAA